AAAAATGTTTCCGCACCCCCCCCCCCCCCCCCCCCCATCCCACAGGCAACTATTAACACCAGCAGGATGGAAGAAGAGGGTGAGATGATAGCAGGGGAGTAGGCATCAGTCTGAGCTTTGCCTCCATTTATTCTTGCTCAGAGCGTTTTATTCATGTTTGGTGTGTGATTTTTCAGTCCATACAGTTTAATACCTGCTGTATGAATGCAGCACTGCCAGGAGCCACGCTCCGCAGAAGCTCACCGTTAATGTGAAACTGAATCTTAGTCAGTAAATCACAGTCTGGTGTATATTTATGTGCGTTTGCTGGAGGCAAGGACTAACCCTACAATAGCATTACACATGCTGCATTGTCCTTGGACTTTTACAGTAGATGTCCCTGAAAGTCTACATTGATTATTCCATGTGTTGGGATTTTATCATCCTGCCATAAAGCTCTCAAGAAAATCTAGGTCCATCTTTGACGCTGGCAGCGAAGCGATTAAGAGTTATTTGTACTTGTGGGTCACTCCCTGGCTGCTGGGACAGCTTTTATTTAGTTTATATCCATTTCACTCCTGTCTGTTTGCCATTCTTCCCTTGTCTTTGTCCTTTCCTTTTCCCCGCTTGCTCATGAGCCCACCCATATAGATGCCTGAGCTCAGACTCCTGTCGCCTGAAGACCTGTAAAAACTCATGTGTGTTTTGTCTGCATCTATCTCTGGGTTGTAAACATGGCTGAGGCTGGCCAGAGGGATGACATCAATCCTAATGCTGTCAGGAAGAGATGATGGATGCATCCACAGGGACAGATGCTCTCTTATCCCACATCTCACTGTGCATTTTTTAGTATGTTTTTGCTTGTGTGAACTGAAGAGGCAGAGAGTGATGATCTTGTTGATTAAGAGCAGCAAGCCAAGTGTTTTTAAGAAGTTTTTTTTTTTCCTGCTTTCCAGGCAAGTAAATGGGTGCAATGGTTGGCAGTGGGCCTTAACCACAGGGGACACAGTACAACTACAACCATCATCGGCTGTGAATTATTCTGTTTTAACTTGTCTGTCTCTCTCTGCCTTCCACACTCTTTTGCAGTCTTTCTCGCTTTTGTTTTTGCTCCCGTTCTCACACCCACAATCATGCTGTACAGATGAATGCACACACACGCAAATGTGGTAGACTGTAAGCTTGTGACTCACACTCAGCAGTGTTTTTGGAAAAAAGGATGCTCTCTCTGAAAGAGAGAGTTTGAGTGGTTTCGCTTAATGTTTAAAGGTAACAGTAAGTGGATTTATTAGTTACACTATCAAATGAAAATGCCAAACTTCTTCTGGTTCCAACTTCCTAAAATGTGACGATTTCTTGATTATTTATTTATTTATTTATTTATTGTTTAATATAATGGTATATTGAGTATTGTCTGGCTTTGGACTAATGTTTGGGGAAATTAAAACATTTGAACATGTCACTTTGGACTCTGAGGTGACTGTAATGGGCATTTTGGTTCACAGAGTTAAAAAAAATCTGTTCATTTGATAATCATTTTAACAGCTGAGTAGTCAGTACTTACTGCTCAATAGAAGAAGCCAGACACTTATACAAATGGGCGCTTTTTTATTTAAAAAAAATGTTTTTAGTGGGATTTGTTGATTTGGCATTGATAAAGAACACTGGTACTTTATTGGTAGTAATTTATTTTTACTTGGTTAGTGGCTCACTATGTAATCAACAGTCAAATGTAATTCTTATTATAGTACTTGTAAGACTTATTTGTTGTTTTTTTTTTGCAGGGACATCATGATCACCCATTTTGAGCCATCTATCTCGTATGAGGGTCTGTACGGGGAAGTGAGGGACATGTGCTCCATGGACAACGACCAGCTGTTCACCATGAAGTGGATTGACGAGGAAGGTATGACTCCCTTACCCGCCATCATTCTCGATTTCTTACCAGCTGTTCCTCAGGAGGAGGTGCTGTTTTTTTTTTTAATGAAATTCACCTTAAAGCAAAAATATGCATAGCAAACAGAAATCAGGTAGCCTGCTCAAAATCAGTTAGATTAAACAATTCATTCAAGCCTCTGGATGAATTTGTTGGTTCCATATTAATATGAACACATGCTCACAAATACACACTGACATTCCACTTAACTGCATTCCTCAGTTATTTTTCAGTCAGTCAGTATTGTATACAGTCCCCCTCACCCAATTCCTAGTTGTCAGCCAGTTACTAGACAGCAGTAATAGGGTCGTAGGGAAGCGATGGAGTCATCCGATCACCCTGCTCAGAGTAAGGTCAGTCTGCCTAATCACATTAGACTCAGATCTGCTCCCATAGCAGAAAAGCAGCTTCACCTCACCATTGTTGTGTATGTGGTGTGCTACCTCACTATTGTTGTGTATGTGGTGTGCTGCGTGGGTTATGTGTGGACGCTCGCAGTGTACAGTGTGGAGGGGGAGGTGTGCCAAAAGTTCAAATATGTTGAACTCTGACCCTGGTTGCACTGACCTCGCCCTGGCTTTGCCTATACTCATAGAACCCCAGATTACAGTACGTAACCAACATTTCATAATTTTTCTCAAACTGTACAATAATATGACGAAGATCAGAGAGAGGCACTTAGTTAGTGAAATATCACACAAGTGCTGCTACAAAGGCCGTTTAAAAAAACAGTCTGATCCTCTAAAATGTAACATTGGTGATCTATTGCTATTAGCATTGTAGCTGTGCCATTTTTTACAGCGCCCCATTTTTCTCGTTTACTCGATGACTGAAGTGTACTGACATTACCTGGCAGCTCTCAAAAGTACTTTTCATCCAAGTGCATCCCTCTATCAGACATAATGCTCCTTTCAGTCACAGTCGCGCATCTAAAATGCCATGTCCAAGTGTGTGAGCTGAGAAAATGTCACCAACTAAATTATTGTCAACCAACTGCACAGATTACTTACATGAGGACAATTAGGTTCACTTTTAATGTCAAATTGAATATCGATGTTTTTTGACCATTGAACTATTGACCGTTATAGACAAATAACTAATCCCTAGTTGCAGCCATAGCATTCAGTACATTTTTATTACATGTAGTGTATATAGCGCTTAAACAACTGTTTCATTAATCTACTGTTGAATAACAGAAAATCGGTCAGCATCAAGTTTGATAATCATCCGGTTACATAATTAAACTAGACAGCACTCCTGCACTAGTGCAGCCTCCACCAAAGGCCAAACCCGTTTCCCCATAATGCCATAAAGTCAATATTCCCATGATTGTTTGACCCTAATAAAATCATTGCTACAATAAAGGCAACGTTTCTTGCTCAACAGTTTGATAAACAGTTTGATAAAGTGCTCATGCAGTTGCCGTTACTGGCTTATTGTTGCAGTATGGAGTGATCCTTCATGTCCTCTGCTCTCCCTCTGCCCAGCTGTGAGTGTGTCTCTCCTCCAAACGGAGACTGACAGGAAAAAATACAGTGGAAAAGCAAAGTAGGACGGTCCGTGTCAACCCGTGAGGTTATATCAGTGACTGTACAAAGGACGGGCTATACCCTTGTTAGGTTCCGATAGTGGAAACGCAGCTAAAATGTGCAGCTAGAACACTAGGGTCCTCATGACAGACTGCTGTGCTCTAAGTGGTTAGTAGCTGCCTGCTAAAAGATCTAACTGAAAATGTCAAACAAATTCTAAATTGGGCTTACTTTGATAGACTGACCACATATTCTCAGTCTAAGTGGTTACTTCATGAAAAACATAATAAATATAGCAAAACATAATAAAATGGCATAATACCAGTCCTATGGACAAAAATGGTAACAGCTTTGAGCCTCTTTGAGACTCTTGCCCAGATGTCACTACATTGAGTCCAGCTGTGTATGTGCCCTAAGTGCTCATCAGCACGGCTGTGCACATTGGCCACAAGGGGGCTAACATACAGTCAACCTTTCCAGCACTCACAATGATGAATAATCTATTTAAAAAATTCTGTATCCAAATTATGTGACAGATCAGCACCAAAATCTACCCTACCTCCCCAAAAAGTTTCATGAAAATCCATTCATTACTTTGTGAGTCATGCTGTTAACAAACAAATCAACAGATGCAGGCAAAAACATAACCCTGGAGGTAAAAAAACCAAACAGAAGTCTAACGTTTGCTTATTTTACCTCTCAAATGGAAAAGGTTTCCTAATTTTTGTGTTCTTACAGAGTACATTGAGTATCTGGGTTTAAAACAGTTTTTTTGGATTTTGAAGACATCACTTGGCTCTGGGATCTTGTGATTACCATTCTCTTTGTAACATGTAGAAGTGGATGTGCCTGCACACACACACATAATGGAACTTGTGCACCATTAAACCAAATCATAGGTTTAGGCATCACCTGTTAATTTTAACGTGATGGCTGGTACAGTCCTCTCACTGGTTCCATACATTCTGTGTGTCGTTGTTATTGTTCTCAGACTACTCATAAAACCAGCGGTTTGTTGTCGTCAGCACTAAGAATAGAGTCAGTAGCCTCCGTGCTTCTCCGTGTGTTGTGATGACACCTGTCCCCTTCCTGTTAATGATGAGGGCATAATTTGATCTATGCCTGGGTGGTATTTTAAATGTCGACGTAGATTGATCATTGTACAAATATGGCTGTGGAGTTGAAAGGAAAGTAATTGAAATGACATGATCTACTGCAGTCTCCCACGCATTCGCTCACAGCCACACACTTTGTTCAGTGTTTACTTAAAGTTCATGCATTGCAATTCATATCATTCCTACAGCGGTTAGACAAGTTTTATTTTAAATGTCATGCTGTCCTGCTGTACAGCTCACCTTTTACACTCTCAACCTTTTACTCTAGGAATATGGTTTGTGTACCACTTAATTGTCTCTGCTTTGTTGTTGCATGCCTTGTGATCAGCATATTTAAAAGTAGCCCGGTTGTTGCTGACTTTTTACAGTAGCTTGATCTTTTAAATGCCATGTAAATGTTTCTGACAGGGCTTCAACATGTTCACACTTGAAAGATAAAAAAATTTGATAATACAAAGAGAGAAGGAGGGGAGCTGTCAAAAGCAAATGCAATATGCTAAATATGTGCACAAATACAAGCGCCTAAAGGCTTGGATTATCAGCTACTCTGAAAAAAACTTGATGGAATGTATCAGTGTGGCAGCGGTGTAGAAAGGGAAACTGTTTTACATGTAGCAGTTTGTCCTTGTTGGGACCTCAACTACTGATTCTTTTTCATTACTGATTAACTTGCTACTTATCTTAGTTCCTCATTTTGCTCCTAAAATATAGTGAAGTCCAAGGTCTTCAAATGTCTTGATTTGTCCAACTCCCAACTATATTTATTTGCTTCATTGTCAGATATTGTTTAAAACTCTGAATACAGATGAAGTCTTCAGGCGGCAGTGTGTTATCTCAGTAATGTACCTAAACCTAACATGTTGCGTTCCACGATATTCAGGATAAATTTAATTCAAACAAATGTAGGCTTTGCAGAAATAAGATTAGTGCAGAGGATGTAAACATTGTCCCACAGTAACTTGGTTTCTTGTGTCTCTCCCCTGCTGTTAGGTGACCCCTGCACCATGTCGTCTCAACTGGAGTTGGAAGAAGCGCTGCGTCTCTACGACCTCAACAAAGACTCAGAGCTCATTATCCATGGTGAGCCTTATTTCTTTATGCATAAAATTTACAGTTTGACTATATGTTCTCATGAACTGCAGATGTTGATTCAGACTGGTTGCTTGGTCAGTGAGAGGTCCAGATGAGAAGCTCAGAGGTCATGCTAGACTTTCTCGTTATCTGCCATTTTGACAGACAGGGTCATAAAAATGTCATAATAATTTATTACCCGTCTATTTAATTTTCTTTTTTTTTGATGAGCCATATTTATTAGCATTTAATTAATTTTCATTTTTTTTAAGGTAGTTTTATCCACCCTCATTATGAGAGGAGGTGAAATGTGCTCAGCAGCATACAGACACCTTCACACCAGTGCTGTCAGACTTGCCTGCATCAGATTAAATAAAGACTTTATAAACATAATCATATCTTGTTTTTTTTCTTCCCAGTGTTCCCGTGTATACCAGAAAAACCCGGAATGCCTTGTCCAGGAGAAGACAGTGAGTCTAATTTTGGCAGTTGGCCTCCAAAAGAAACTGGTGTTTAATTTGCAGTTTAAATTTGAGGGGAATTCAAAAAGTGCTCCAGGTTCCCACACTGTATATGACACCGAAATTATACTGTAAGACAAAAATCATACGTTAAACATAAATGTATGAATTTTTGGCTCTGCTTCCAAAAATCGGTCTTGTAACTAAAATGTTAGGGTGCATGTGTAACTTTGGTGTCAAATGTAGTGCTGTCAAATATTCACATTATCTCTGGTTTGCATTTGGTCCTACATGCCAGTCAGGATCCTTCTCTTCTCACCTTTTCTGTCATGTCTTTGTCTAAAGTTACTTCAGCTTGGTGCCAGAATCATGCTTGTTTCCAAGAGAACGTCAAAGCTGTTTCAGTCACATATGCACAAATACTAAAATGAAACCCCACAGATAAAGTAGGATTTACCACTCTTTCATTTCTCCACAGAGTCCATTTATCGGCGAGGAGCCCGGCGGTGGAGGAAGCTTTACTATGCCAGTGGCCATGCCTTCCAGGCTAAACGCTTTAACAGGGTGAGACATGATACTCAAGTTTGTCTTACAGTATCGTGCACAGCTGACCTATCACTGTGTGAAATGGGCAGAAATGTTTGACAGTTTCAGAAAGTTACAGAAATGTTCAGATATTTAAGGCTCCTCATTTATGTTTGTTGGCTTTAAATTGTTTCCCACAATGTAGTTAACCTTATATTTACAATGTAGTTAACCTTATATTTTCTGTATTTTAACATTATCATTTGACTTCTGATTTTATATGTAAACCCAAACACAGTGCACATTTCAAAGCTTAAGGGTGTGCATTCAGATAAAAATGAGAATTCCACTGCACTTTAATATCTTTGAATTGGTTGATGATGTAAGAGAGAATGTGGGGACACAGAACAATGGCAGCAGGAAAGCATGTTTAAAAAAAAACAAAAAAAAACACCACAGCCTGTGTAGCATCTCCCAGAATGTAGTGTGTGCTTGTTTGTGCTGATAATTTTTCTCCCTCCGCCCTCCTGAGCAGCGAGCCCACTGTGCCATCTGCACAGACCGGATCTGGGGTCTGGGAAGACAAGGCTACAAATGCATCAACTGCAAACTGCTGGTGCACAAGAAGTGCCATAAACTGGTCACAGTGGAGTGTGGCAGACAGAACCTGGTGAGGGCTGTGACAAATGCTCATTAGCTTTATTACATTAAGTGGCTTGTTATCATCCATGAATCATAGGTACTCTGCAAGATTGAGTTCAGTTTCTACACTGATTATACTTTAATGAATGTTCTTGTCTAGGAACCAGTCATGCCAGGCCCACCATCGAGTCACTTAGACCACACTGAACAGCCAGGTAACACACACACACACACACATTTCTAACATTTGGAAATCACGTTTCAGAAGTCCAACATATTAAAAGCTCACTTTTGAAACAAACCATCTCCTTTTGTGATCAGTTCAAGTTCTACTTTTGAATGTTTGTAATTGGACTCATACCCTGCAGGTTTTATTCAGTTTCTAAAAGCCAAGACTGGTGAAATTGTAATGAATTTTGTCAACAAATCCCTTGAAAAGACCAAAATCTTCAGTATGTTAGTCCAACTCTTAGTACTTTTCAACCTTCTCAGCTTGTCTGTGGCATGGCTCGACTCTTCCAGCCCCTTTCTCCCCTTTGGAAGAGTTAAAGCTTTTACAACAGATCGTCAATATATATTTTAATTAAAACAAAAAAGCTGGACACTGTAGTTTTAGCTGATGTTAGTGAAACGGGAATAAAAAGTCTATTTGTTGGGGACTATTTTCAGTTGTGGTCAAGTGCTAGTGAGTATTTACACTAGTAGGACGGTGTAAACAGCGCCCACCATAATGAAGAACACTATTCAGTTCATAGTTGGGCCTCATTAAATGGAGCTGTATGGCAACAGAACAATATCAGATGCTGGCTAGACAGATAACAGATAGGATCAATTTATTATTGATTTCTGTCTTTTCATGGGATGTATTGACTCTAAGTGAAATATAGATTAGCAGTATTATCCTTCAAGACTAACTAAATGTACTCAAGAGGATGTTGGCATCAGACTCCAGGTTGGTCGACTGCACCTACAGCGACTGACTGAAATGAGAGAGCTAGGGATTCTTGTTGCAGTTGATAGTGAGGCTGCTGAAACACCTCAGATATGCTCACAGGTCACCTGGGTAGTTGTGGGCTGCAATCATGGAAACACTGCTTGGTTTTGATTTTATGTTAACCTCAGCTTCAATATTTAGACTTTGAGGAGTCGTCTTGTATGACAGTCCATAAATCAGCATTTCTTCTTTGCGTCTATCTACAAAATAGAGATGCAGTACATCATTTGTAATATACTGTTTCTGTTACAGGGTGGATACAAAAGGGTATTTTCTTTTCTAACCAAGCAGAGAGAAATTACTTGGCACTGCAGGGCTGTGAACAAAGTGCGTGACTGTCTCTCACCTACTTTCCCTTATCTCTCCTTTTTTCCTGTCCTGCCTCCCCCTCTCCTTCTGTCTGTCTGCCACTCTGTCACTTCCTCCTCTCCTCCCTTCTCTCAGGCCCTCAGAATAAGGACTCTAGAGAAAGCTTGAATTACGAAGGAGATGAGAAAGAGGTGAGAACGAGATCTTTTCAAATGCTGTTCATATTTGACTCGTAATCTTCCAGCCCATCTTGTTGGCTCAGTGGATGTGAGTATGTATATTTATATTTAGACAGAGACATTGGTGTGTTTGTGTAAATAGGGACAAAGAATAAGATGACCTATAATTGGAAGTAGTTTGTTTCCACTTATTAGCTAGAATGTACCTTAGGGTGACTCTGTGCTATAGAGAGCATACAGAGGTATGCATCTATGCAGTGCTGTGGGTATTGATTTCCTTTGGTGGAGCTAATAACGTAACCTTTTATCACAGCTCTTAACACCAGAGGTTGATTAATGGCCTGCGATGTAGTTTAGAGTTGGAGGGGTGGGTTTGTTGGACAGAGCAGGAGAGCTGGAAGTGGATAAAGAATGGGTCAAGTCGGACACGTAGATGGAAACAAAAGAAGGCGAGACAAAAGTTCTTACCTGTGCTTCCATGTCTCAGTCTGGGGATTGGGGTTGTCACCTAAAGGGAGCTTAGATGGATAGGTTGTGGTTCACAACAGACTACAGGATAGGTGGGACAAAGATAGGTGAGGAAATGATGGTGATGCTCCAGTTTACAAAGAAGTAGGGCTGTAATACAGTACAGTGTACAATCAGTATGATAGTATTTTATAAACACACAAAAGTCATTACTCAGATTTACTTTCAAAAAGTGGAGCTGGCAGCAGTTCATTAAGGAAATCACCCTCTTGCTCAAGCCATCCTCTTGCTGTTTGTATGCCTGCTCCCCCAGGCACGGAGCAGCAGAGACACAGGGAAATCGAGCCTCGGCCTGGCAGACTTTGATTTGCTGCGGGTGATCGGCAGAGGCAGCTATGCCAAGGTGCTGTTGGTGCAGCTGAAGAAGACAGAGCGCATTTATGCCATGAAGGTGGTGAAGAAGGAGCTGGTCAATGACGATGAGGTAAACAATACTAATGACTAACCATCAAGGTCAGACTAGTCTTTCCCCAGTGGTCCAAAGAGACCAGTTCATGTAATGGCAGAAATCCAACACTGTGAAACTGTGAGACTGTGGAAAAAGGGCATCAAACCAGCTTTAAGTAAAACCTAACACAGCAGCACAACAAAATGTTGATGATCATGAGAATTGTTGGTCAGCCTTTAGATGAGGTGGAGCGTTAATGGGTTTTGATTAATGTGGTGTTAACTTTGTATGGATTTGGCCACTTACTGTGAATAAGACATTATTTTGTATCTATATGTGCATTCTGAAGGAAGAGTGAAGTCTATTTTGCTCACAATCAAAGACTAAAATTAAGCCAGTGGTCTTTTTCTAGTGCTGAGGTTTGAAAGCAAGTTTTACAAAAACACAGTTTTCATCATTTGAACTATTGTTTCTGCTGCTGCTGACTTAGGCATAAGTATATGTGAATAGGGCCTTTCTAGAACTGCAACTGATGATTTTTATTTTAAGTAAATCTACCTGTTATCAGTAAATTGTTTACACTTTAAAACATCAGAGAATAGTAAAATGTTTATTACAGTTTATGGTGATATATGTAGATGTCTGAATAATAGAAATCCTAAAGATGGTTTAGTTTACATACTGGGAAGGCTGAACCAGAAAATGGTTTGATGTTTAAACCCCCCCCCCAAAAAAAAAAAACTACTAGATAATTAAATGTGCACTGTATATCCACTTAAGTAGGGCAAAACCTACAGTATCTCTTTAACTCCAGAGTGTGACAGTAACACAACCCCTCCATCGACTGAGAAGTGAGAAGGTTAGTTAATAGTGAAGTCATCAGTCTTATGTCACTGCTCTGTATAATTAATGTAATGAGCAACATCATTGCACAATGAACATTTGTTACATGCAATTGAATCCATCCATCTTGAGAATCTTTTCTTAAACACTTTGAATGTAGTTTGAAGACGTAGGTCTTTCTAAGGAGGTTTAGATAAATGATCACATAATCACAAATCGATCTCAGCTAACACATGCAGCAGCATAGCCAGTGGCAATGGGAGTAGCTAACCTTGAACAGATGCACTTAGCATGATTGACAAATTAGTTGAAGTGCTTCTCAATCAATCACGTGTTCTGCTGTCCCAAACCTGTCAGCATGAACAGCATCTGTGTCCAGACATGTTATCATCTAGCCATCGACAAAGGCCTACTGCCGCTTTCGGTGGCTTAGCCCTTTTTTCCTGTCACTGTCCACCATGCATATGAAGGAGCCCCAGGCTTTGGTCGATCGAGCTCTGTGCTTAGTCAGCTTTTAGAAGTTCAAAGGTACTTTGTCAGAATGGCCTTGGATTGACATTTTTGTCTGTCTTTGTGTGTTTTTCTTCCAGGATATTGACTGGGTCCAAACAGAAAAGCATGTTTTTGAGCAGGCCTCTAATCATCCATTCCTAGTTGGCCTCCACTCCTGTTTCCAGACAGAAAGCAGGTGAGAACATTTCCCCAGTGTGAGTCACACAATAACTTAGTCTTTGGAAAGAGTCTGGAAAATGAAAAGGCAAGTTCTCATTGTAGCAAAATAACCTTTCAAGTCAAAGTGAAGCAGATGTTAGAGCATCTTTAGCTTCAGTAATGTGACATTTTTGGGGTTTGTCATGAGAGGGATGTAGATGAAATATGCACACAAACAAAGAGCATCCTTTTGACTAAAAACCACTGGTACAAAATAGCAACGGTGGCACTCTAGCTTGTCAGTACATTGTAAAACTATACAGTGTTTCAAAATGACACAAGTGTTTCATCACCTACTGCTGTTGTGGTTAAGGTATGGTTCCATTTAGATAAACAGAACACTTTGTTTCAGTCAGTGTGTGGTCATGGGTACCATTATGGGGATATCCATCCAGCCATTCTAACCTCTTACAGACGAATAAACAAATGATGGATTCACGTTGGAAAATAAACGAACATTTACCTATTTTCACAGACTGTTCTTTGTTATTGAATATGTGAACGGTGGAGATCTGATGTTCCACATGCAGAGACAAAGAAAACTCCCAGAAGAACACGCCAGGTAGGGTCATTAAAAAGAGGACTGATGTCGTCTTGTATCTCTGTGTAGTCCCTTTGTAAAAAAAAAAAAACCTGAATTCTTTCTCGTTTTCAGATTTTACTCAGCAGAGATCAGTCTGGCGCTGAACTATCTTCACGAGAGGGGAATCATATACAGAGATCTGAAACTGGACAATGTGCTACTGGACTCTGAAGGACACATAAAACTTACAGACTATGGCATGTGCAAGGTGTGGTTTGCCGTTTACTGGAGGCTCTCATTATACCATTAAGCACTTTGGATAAAAGCACCTACAGAGCTGCATAAATCAGTTTACAGCCCTCTGAGATGATCTCACAGCTGATTATCCTTTTGATTTTGCAGGAGGGTCTGAGACCAGGAGATACGACGAGCACTTTCTGTGGTACCCCCAATTATATTGCCCCTGAGATACTCAGAGGGGAGGATTACGGTGAGACTTATGCAAGCACTTTACCTGAAACATAATCCGATGATTTCCTGTGATATAGAATATGAGGTATTATGCAGGACGTCTGAGACGCTGCTCTCAGACAGTACAAGGGTTGGCTGCACTGCACTGCACTCAGTGGCCACTTTATTTGGTACACCTGTACACTCTGTTGGAATTCATTTCAACAGCTCTGCCACAGATTCTCCCTTTACATTGTTCAGTTTTTGTAGCTTTACCCTTATTTATATCCATGTAGGTGGTGATAAAGGAAGTACTCTGATGGCTTAAGTGAAAATAACAGTACCACAGTGTAAAAATACTGTTACATTCAAAATGATACTTGAGTAAAAGTATAAAGTACTAAAAGTTAAAGCACTCATTATTCAGAATGGCACATTTAACATTAATTATCATATTATTGAATTATAATTAGTGATGCATTTTTGCATACATCACTTTAAATATTGCAGCAGGTAAAGGTAGAGATAGTTTTAACAAGTTTATATGCTTAGAATTTGAAGTACTTTAGATATTGGTGGGCAGCTTGTGAATTTTCCAGCGAACATGAATAAAGTCAGGATTTTACTGTAATTTTTGTATTTATCTTGTTCTGAAACGTAACTGCATTAGACTGTACAGGTATGAGTATACACTGTATGAACTAGAAGAAGAAATGAGAAAAACAAGATGACCAAGGATCTCTGCAGGGGTAGGCGTTCACTTCAGCAGAAAAGGAATAGAAAATGGAAAAAAGAGGAAATAAAACAGAACCAAAAAGCAGTTTAAATCTAAACATTGAGCACCTACGTTTGAAAAAGCATTTGTGACATCCTCTGAATGAATGGAGCTCCATTTAAACCCATTATGTGGAGTGTATGGGTTGAAAAAGTGATAACTAACATGTATAGATCAAAGTTTAATGTGTTACAGCCATTAAGCACAAACACTCAAGTGTTCAGTAAAATATCAGTTTGTACATCATAATTGAGTTTTGCACATGAAAGCATCTATAAACACAATACAAAATAAATAGAAAAGAGAGCTCCCTGGGTTACCAGAGGAGGTATCATAGCAACACTGTTAAAGGATGAGACCCGTGACATGTTAATCTCAGTGCAACGGGGATTTTTCCATAGCAGATATTTGGATGTGTCGCTGTATAAAGAGCACAGGTGTAAATAATGGAATTAATAATGACGGCTGAACTCCATTTAGCTGCTACAGGCCCAGGGTCCTGGTAAGGTTGAAGGTGAGTGTGTGTCAGTGCTGTGACACACTGGCAACCTGTCTAAAGTGTAGCTCTCCTTTCACCCAGTATCAGTGGGGACTGGCTCCAGTCCCCCTGTGACCTTCAACAGGATAAGTGGTGTATCAAATGGATGGATGGATGAGTTCAGGGTCCTGCTATTGCTCATGTTATGGGTAACCTTCTGCTGCTCTACTTGAACGAGTCAGTCTGCTGTCAAAAGGGTCTGTTGAAAACTATTGTAGTACTGTTGAACAGTGTATTATTGCAGCATCAAAATAGCAACATAGATGTAATATTCTCATTTGATACTCTAATAATTAGGCCCACCACAATATTCAATATAATCGGTTTTACTGTTTTATAGGAAATGGAAATTAGTTTTCTTATTATGACTAATCCTAAGCAGATGGTTAATCTGATAAACAGAATTTTATTACATAGTTAATTATAATTTCTTAGAGGCAGATTTATTTATTGTACAACAACAAAAATATTAAGTCACTTATGTGGGTTTGCTTCGAAGTGAAGAATATGCATGGAATCATCTACAAATGGAATTATTTGTAAAAATCTTGTACATGTGCTATTAGGAATGGGTTCAGAGCCTGTTTGTTAAGGTGCACATCATATAACCACAACATCCGCAATTGGGTTCCCGGCTGGGGTCCTTTGTTGCCCGACAACCCGCTGTGTCTCTGGCTTTGTTTCCTGTCTCTCTCTAAGCCATTAGCTGTCCAAAAAAAAGAAGTGGTGTTTTCTATCTCGCAAATAATGCTTCATAATGAAAACGTTTAATATAACATTAACATTTTAATATAGCTAAAATGCATCTACTGTATAAGACATCTTTTGAAAAATTGTAAAGGAATGAAAACATGCACAAACGCTAGTGTGACGCTTTCATGGTGGAAGTGGTTGCTATAGTAACAAACACATATGCTTTGTGCAGTTTTAAGCAGTAATTTAAAGTAAATGAGTTTCATGAGAATTGTTCCATGCAAAACATTGCTGTAAAGCGGGGGTAGGCAGTAATTTCCTCTCATCAGAATCAAGGGCCGAACATACGAACATACTCAATTTCTTGTATGTTCTGTCACAGAAAATATTAAGTTCTACATGCAATGTTACTTTATGCTTACAGAATAAGAATTGCACCAAAAATGTCATTAGTTTTCCTGTAAACCTGTTTTACATCTGCGTACAGCGCTTATTCAAGGACACAACGATAAACATAATATAACTTGTAATGTACACTGTGTGCCTCAGGGTTCAGTGTGGACTGGTGGGCACTGGGCGTGCTGATGTTCGAGATGATGGCGGGTCGGTCACCCTTCGACATCGTGGGGAGCTCCGACAACCCCGACCAGAACACAGAAGATTACCTCTTCCAAGGTATCGCGCACACAGCCGAGGATTGAGTGGAGGAAAAACAGCTCTGTGGAAGCATGTAACACCTTTGTGTTGACACCTTTCTAATGGCCACTTCTCTCAGTACCAGGCACATGCCATCTGTTACAGTGAAATGTGTGAATATATGTGTGTTTTTGTCTGTAGTTCTTTCATTGTAAATATGTTTCGTAAATGCGTTATGTTTACTTAAAGCTGCCAGGAATTAAAATGTTATTTCTTGATGAAGTCGTATTTCAAGACACTTTTGTCAAAAGCTGTTGACATGTCATTGAAAGGATGCTGAATGTACGTTCAGGGTGATTAAACCTGATAGGATTCAACTCATAACTGCCGCAGTGTCGGCACCATCCTCTGTCATTTTAGCCTTAGGGGACCATCTGTCTCACCCTCTCTTCTTCTTGTGTGCCCCCCACCCCCCTTTTCTCTCGCCTCCTGCAGTAATATTGGAAAAACAGATCCGAATCCCCCGCTCATTGTCAGTCAAAGCTGCCAGCGTCCTCAAGGGATTCCTCAACAAGGTAAGAAGGGGTCAGACAGCCCTGGATCAATCTGAAACTGTGTTGGCTCCTGCTGGCTCCTGAGAACGACATTATTATGGCTTAATTTAGAGCCAGACTCATCTCTCACTGTGTTGCATTCTTATTTACCAGCTTTCCATCTGTTTTTCATTGTGGCACCTTTTCACCCATCTTTAATGTGTTTTTTTTTTTTAAACTTTCCCATGAGCAAAATCCACTCTTCTTTACCAACTTTCTTGCAAATTCTCTCCTTTCTCACCTTCTGCACCTCTTTTACCTGTTCTATGTCTCTTCCACCATCATCTCCTACTCTGTCTCTCGCCCTCACTCCCACAGGATCCCAAGGAGCGTCTGGGCTGCCACCCTCAGACGGGCTTTGCTGACATCATGGGTCATCCATTCTTTCGAAACGTCGACTGGGAGCTTGTGAGTTTTTCTACTTTTTTTCTCCCCTCTTTCTGTGTCTCACTTTACCTTCCATGTATTGATGCTGTGGAGAAAAGCTGCTACTAGACAACAGAAGGTCAAGTCTTGGGTGTATGGGGTTACCCTTTCTGTCCTCTGTCAGAGGTGGAGTTATTAGTAATGACATGTTCCTGTGAAAAACAGACAGACACAAATAGGCAGAAGACTGACAACAGTACATAGGCTGATTAACTGAAATGGGAAGCCAATGACAGAAAAGAAATTAGCAGACGGGTCAGACTGACAGGCATAAAGACATTAGAGAGAACCGAGATGAACACATCTGGATATACATTAGCTTGGAGGAAAGTCTTCTGAGCTGTCAGATTGTGAAACAACTATTTATGTTCACAAGGAAGCCATTAATAAATCTAATTTCAGCTTCACTGTTAAGGAATTGGTTTAAACTCAGAGGCTGGTGTTAACCTCTTCTGAAGCTGTGCTTTGTAGCCTTGGTAATTAGTATTGAAAATTGTATATGTTTGAGTTGGGGCTGGGTGATGAAACAGACTCCAATTATTACCAAAAAATCCCCACCCTAATGATGAAAAACTGAAGAGTAATTTTTGATAAATGAATCTGTTCTAAATTTGGGTCCGCCCTCTGCACAATCCCCCTTTTAGGCTACATCTGACACATGAAGAACCAAAACCATGAAAAGCCCACACGTTGTTGTAAAAATGAGTAACTGTGAGCCAGACAGCCAGACAGTGCAATGAAACTGTAAGACATAGAGGTAACATAGCATTGGGTATTTGGAAATGATTGAATTCCTAAAGCTGGATAAACAACAGAATGATATCCTGTGCTCACAAAGATGGAAAATACACAAACTGTTTGACTATTTGGAAAAAAAAAAAAGAGATGTTACCATCCATACACACAGACCACCAAAGTCTACACTCTCAGACTGCAGCACTAGCCCCCAAGCTCGCTAACATGCCTCTTGTGGTCATGTTAGTACAAACCCCAGCAGCAGTCGCTCCTGTCAGTCATTACTATAGACTGTATAAGACATGAACCGAACTAAAAACTCAAAGTACAAATCAAATGAATTTTTCTCAGAGGTGATTTCTGTCATTTTTTGATAGATATTATCACACTGATGTGTGTACAAGTGGTCATTTTTCTATTAAGATTGTTTTTAATAAGTTATTTGATAATATGAAAAGGGGTGTATTTCAAATTATATAAACAAATTTAGTGATCTTGTACTGTCGCGCAACTACTCTGGGGCTACTGCACAGAATCTGGTTGCAAAATGCCAAGATGGCAGCCACTGTATTCACAATATTTTGGCTTCACTTTTGAATAGTGGAAGGAAATGGTGACGCATCGTCTATTTTTATAGTCAGTCTATGGGCATTACCCGATATGGTACGAGCTCAAAAACCTAAGCAGGGGCACAGCAAAACATATGATGTGAAAGATAGCACTGCCTCAGGTTTATGCAGAAACATTACAAAAGCACCAGTCAGGACACCAGAAATTTCCAAGGACTAAATGAAAATCTTACCTGAGACTGGTGTTTGTGTAATCTGTGTATATTGTTTACAGCTTTGAGTGTAATTATGAATATGAGTGTCTATTTATAGTGAGTACATCTGTACAGACTGTAAAGCCCCTTGAGACTTTTTGTGATTGGTCTCAAAGGGCAATATAAATGAATGTGACTTCATTGTATTAATCATCTCAGAATCACTTAAAAGAATTTCACTGTTTAAAAAAAAAAGGTCTAAATTTCTGTTATTTTTTCAAACTTATTGTTCATGGTTTCTGCAATAGTAAGTTATGAGATTCACTTTTACACCATCTTGAACTTAAAGATGAAACTAATCTCCTGTCATTTCTCAGGAGCTGTGGTGTCAACACATTACGACGACTGATGGTTATAATTTCTTGTAGGGGTATAACTAAAAATAATTTTCAGTACTGATCAATCAAAATGTGAACTTAATGTAAGTAAATAAAAATGCATATATAAGAATAATTCCAGGGCTATTCATCCTTACTGATTTATTATGATTATCATTCATAAATTGGGCATTATGTCCATGAAACAGGTATTCAAACTGCTTATTTTGTTATAAACAACTAGTTCAGTTCAAAGTTAAAACTGATATATATAAATCTTATTTACTCTATATATTTATTTGCGAGATGTCTGTACATGTGTAAATGATAAGGCATGTTTTAATCCTTAAAGGCAGGCAGACAGACAGGCAGACAGACAGGTGGACATGACCTTAACAGGCAGACAGACAGACAAGTACTAGTGGCTGACGTGTCAGTCAGACAGACAGGGCAGCTCGCCAGGGATCACCATGACCTCTTTTTCCCTGTTTGGTCTGGAGCAGGGACTCAGCAGTCGGTCAGAGTGTCTGGAGAGATCAGCTTACACCCGTCCCACCCCACCTCCACCTCAAACACATTAACCTGAAAGTTTGCCCTGCAGTGCACTTGTTTGCCTGCAGGTGGGAGGCAGTCGTTGCATTGGGAATAATACTTACAATTGAGACTGTAATGTATTGATAGGCACATGTAATGGGGTATATTTGCAGGTTCCTCATCAAGGTTTTAGTCACTGCAAGCTTTTTTAACAGAGATGGCATTTGTCATTTACCTGTAGTGTTTTTATTTTTGGAGACAGGATAAAACTCTGTAGTGGGATAGTCAAAGAATCTAGTGTCTCTCTAATAAATGATCGGCCTGGCTCCAGAGTAGGTGTCAACTTGGCGATTGAGGAGATTATTATTTCCATTATTGATTAATGTACCAGTTATATTACTGATTAGTTGATTTTTCATTGCTCATAAAATGTCAAAAGTTGAAAAATAACTGAAATTATTCATTTGTTTTCACTGCCTTGTAATTGACAAATTTAATAATTATGGTAGTTTTATATTATAAAGTAGTAGGGGTGTGATGATACACTTAGCTGACAAGATGATATTTTAAGAATCTACAATGACGAAATATATGACTGGAAAAATACTCCTTTATTCGACTGAAAGTCTCAAAATGCAAAGCAATGCAGGTGCATTTTGAAATGTTTTAACTAATCATCAGTATGAATAATCACATGCAGGAAAAGAGGTTTAGCAAAAAAAACAAAAAAAAGTTGTCTTCTCATGCCTGTGCTGATATTTCAGCTGGAGCAGAAGCAAGTGATCCCTCCATTCAAGCCCAACATCTCAGGGGAGTTCGGACTGGACAACTTTGACGCCCAGTTCACCAATGAGCCCATCCAGCTCACACCTGATGACGAGTGAGTCCTCATTTCAGTCGCTCTTTTTTCTCATCTCATTATTATTCATTTAATGTGTAGTTTCCAATAAACTGATGCAACCTTTTGTCCATTTGTTCTTGGTAGTGATGTGGTCAAGAAGATCGACCAGTCTGAATTTGAAGGTTTTGAGTACATCAACCCGCTCCTGATGTCGGCAGAGGAGTGTGTCTGAGGACATAACGTCTGTGCTCACACACACAGTCATGCACGTGTTACATGGCATCTCAGTGTCTTCAAACTGCATGGTTATGAAACAACCTGGCAACATCAACCTTCTGTTTGAAGGCCGCACATGTCCAGTAGAACGCTTATTTGCCAAAATCAGTCTCACACTTTGCCATTTATAACCACTTGCCCTTAAGCCTACCTTCTTTGTTAATTATTTTTATATCATGTAAATCTGCACTGATAGCGATTTTTCTCATTGGGGCCTCTTTATCTGTAGCCAACAAAGGCTACAAAGTTCTTCCAAGGTTAATGTAAACAGGGGCAGGAGAGATGAGGCGCCCGTGACAGATGAACTGAGCATCCTCTCCTTCCAGCTGGTGGGGCGTTTTCAGTGCATATCTTATTTATGTATGTATGAAACTTCTGTTGAGGACAAATGTTAGACTAGGCCTTTTTAGCTTCAAGTTGGACAAAACTGACAACTCGATCGTCATAGTCATTTTTGATTTTACTTTGTCCCAACACACTTTATATAAAGGAGGCAGAGACTCATAACACTAGATTTTAAAAACTGAAAAAGATACAAATTTATATATTTTTCTCATGTTTATTTAACAACATAACAGTCATTATATATGTTGTTCTGAGTGTTATCCAGCCTGAGTAATGGAACCAAAAAGGTTCAGGCATTGTTTTTTTAGATTAACTTCTGGAATATAGGAATCTGCTTCAAGTCCCTTCTCCCAGAATGAAGGAACGTATGAAGCAGCATCCAACTAACGCTAATGAGTTAATACTCTGGAAACTGTGAATGAAAGAGCTTGCCATGCCAGGAAACTGGCTGGAAAAGTAGCACATAATACCTGAACGCTGGAGCACAGGTTTAATTTTGCTGTGCGGATCAACCACGAACTACACATTCACACAGGACCAAAAAAAAAAAAAAGATCTTGCTGGTACTTATTAGATGGTTCAGTGTGTATTTAAGAAAGATGTGCTGTCCTTAGTCATAGAATTTATATATTCTCTCTTTTTTTTGTGCTCATTTTTAATACTATGCCATATGAAATGTATTGATCTGTTACAGTATGGTTTTTTTGTACTGTCACCATTCCATGTATGTCTTTTTGTTTAAATCAAAATACTAGGCGATTGTTAACATGAGAGCCCAGTTAAGTGCAAAGCCACGACACAGAACAGTTGTAGCACAGAAATGTGGCTCGAAAACTGTAATCCGTCTGCTGTACTTCGTTTTTACCATATCAAACACACTACTCTAGATGTTTTGTAAAGCTGCTTGCAGAGCCACATTACCTTCTGACTGTAACAACACTGACAGTGATGAACCTCCAGTCGAAGCATCTCACTACATGGAAAATGCTTTTGGGCTCGTGGTAACCAGAGGAACACATTTATCTGTTACATGTTATTTCTGCTTTATTGTTTTTTGTTTTTTGTTTTTTTGTTAATTGGATTTAATTTTGATTTTTTTTTTTTTTTTTTAATCACTACATTGATTCCAAAATGTTACATGATGAACCCAATGGAAACACTATTTGTTGCATTTTGGGGACGTTTACCACCCACAGAACTCCGGAGAACTTTAAGTGTGCAAAAAAAAACAAAAAAAAAACCTGATGGTAAAATAAACATTTTATTTCTCTCCTTGTGGTAATCTGTGCTAATGTGAGTCTGACATTTATTTAGAGAAGCACTCCACTGATTTACTATCATAGACTTTTTGGGCTTCTTCTAGTCTGAGAAAATAACCCTGATGACGCCATCGTGGTTATCATGAGTTAGAACTTAGAATTGTTTGAGAGCATTTTAACAGGGAAGGAAGATCTAATGAAAAATTATGGGAAATGCAGGGTCCAGTGTTGTTGTTGTTTTTTAAGCTTGACTGATTAGGGACTGGGACATTAGAGCCTCTGCTGCTCCAATGTTGACTCCCCCCAAATCTATTTATTTTATTCACTCTCTCTCTTTTCTGTGGAAAATTATAAACGTGAGACATTGCATAATTCTGTATTCACATTGTTCCTGCCCCTTCTGTGGTGGAGAACACGGCTCTGTGGCTCCACATCACCTTGTGAAGGCACAGTGAAGAATAACCTTGTATAATTAATGATGTAAAATGGAGGAGGATCTGGAAAATGAAAAAGGTAACCTGTTTTAATTGCTCTTGTCACATGGGGTGTTTTATTCCATCCCTGAAGGGATTAATTAGGCAGCATAAGAATCATACTTAATGCCAAATGCGATCCCTTAGTAAAACATGGTGCAGTTCAAGGTGCATATAGTGTACTACTTGGCAGGGTCTGCATGCTATCATGCTACATTTACCGAAGCTCTTTACTGTAGTACTGAGGAAGTGAGCCATTCTGAGTGATTTCTAGCATCAATAGTTAAATATTCCACCCTTCTTGAAAGGTAGCTACAAATGGGCTTGTGCTGTTTCAGTAATTGTAATATTATAATGGTGGCTTCTTGAGTAATAAAATCATCTTTCATTAGCAGATGCTTGAGATGATTCTTCATCACAGCTACTTCAGAAACACCTCCATACCGACTATAAATGGAACTCGTGAGTAATAGAGGATTGCTGTCATAAAATAACATATGTAGTGATTAAAACAAAAGTATGCAACAAAACCACCCAGATTTATATGAGAAAGATTTCACTTTAGGAGCTAATAATTAAAATCAAAACCTATGTCTGGTGGATGAAGTATTCAGGTCAATACAATAATGTTAAACTGCTCTATCACTGAATTTAAAAACACAACTAATACCAATAATACCAGTACAGGTGGTGCTTTTTTTTTAAATTCCGTGAGTAATTACAGCAGAAACCCGCAATGAAAAAAGCAAAGATTGTTGAAAATAAATAGTGTGCATTATACTGTACCTTTGACAAAACCCAGTAATGCTGTCTTTTCACACAAAAAAGTGCATGCCACAGTTTCCTGGTTTCTAATGGAGCTCTCCAGGTAGCAGAATCAGGGTTCTCAAAACCAAGACAAACTGCATACATGTGCAACACATAAGTGGGATGTTTGAAAATCTATGTTGTAACCAGGATACTAGTGGTATTGGTAATCGACATGATCCACCATTATATCAGTGTTTGCAATTTTGATTAACAGCGTGTCTTTTCAGGATAATCACCTTTATTTGGCCAAGTGCGTATGTTACACACACAAGGGATTTGTTTCCGGTACAGAACCGAGGCAGCCATCAGCAACACCAACTCACACCGATGGCTCCAACCATCAGGGGCAACTTGGGGGTTCAGTGTCTTGGGAGATGACTGCTCTACCCACTGAACCACAGTCACCCCCAATTGTGATTATATCAATTGATTTCCTTGATGTTTCCTACTACACAGTTGGATTATAAAGTCCAGGTAATGACTACACTTTCAAATAAGTACCATGCAACAGCTGTAATGTGGCTGCAGGATGAGAGCCAGTGCAACATGCTGTCACACACTAGAGCCGAAAATGTGCCCTAAACTGTCCGATACACCTCCGAATCTGTGGTGAAGGTGTGTGACCTCAGACTACCACTTCAGCAAGCACTGTTACCCCAAATCACACACTATCCATACCTACTGGACAACAGAGGACATATTTTAATAGCCCATACTTATTCCATGTCAGGAAGTTTGGAGACAACTATGAGATGTCTTCCCCCAGGGTCCACTTCATACTAAGTCCAATAACAGTTAGACAGACTCTCAGCTAATGGAGATGCTTATCAATGTGCTCTTCTGTTACATCCTGTCTGTGAATCCCCCCCCCCCCCCCCCAACCACTGTCTACACTACCTCATCCTTCAGTTTTTTGCTTTATACCCCTAACGAACAATCCACATCGGTCACATTATTGCACATATGAGATTAATTTACTCCCCACAGAACAAAGAGTGATGTTATTACAGGAAAATCAATGTCCCTCTTGTTGTTCTCTGGGGCTGAACAGGGTGTACACACATCTGCTCTCATAATACAACTGCTGACTTTGCTGCCAGAGAGACGGTGCGGTGAAACAGCCGACGGTGGTGTTTATCAAAGCTTATCAAGCCTCTTTGCTCATACAGACGCATGAAATCAGACTTTAGGTCAGTCAGCCAGCCAGGGTGTACTCCATCTGAAAAAAACCCAGCATATGAAGACAGAGCATAATGACCTTTATAGATTAAGATTGCAGAGTTGTAACAGATGATGTACATTCAGATTAAAAGTTTCTTAGGGAATTCAACCTTCCTTAAATAAAAATATATTATGTATCAGTCAAAAAAACCACATCTCTCAGATTTTATTAACTCACATCATCACTAAAGGCACAAATGAACACCTGAATGACCTCCTGACCTTTTGCAGGGTCCATAAACAACTGGGGGAGGGGAACAATGGGAGAAGAAGCCACCCTTTTGCCCAGTGAGTTTGTCCTCTCCTTACCTCTCATAGATAAAGCAACTGCCATGTCAGTTTATGCCAGAAAATGTCATCCAAGGCCAAGTCAATGACACTGACCTACAACTTGATTTAGTTTAAAGAGCTCATTTATTTTGGTTTATACTGAGTTCTTTTATTTAAAGTAGTATTTAATCAAATTGTGTCCTTTTTTTGTTTGTTTGTTGGGTAATAAACACAAAAGTCTGAGCAGGGTAGAATTATCCCATCACAGGTTGTAAGGCTGGCAGCCAATGATTGTTTTTAAAATGTCTGAAATTGTTCTAAAATAGTAAAAAAAAAAAAACCTTCGTTATTCAACCTTGTTGTCTGAGCACCAGAGAAAAATACCTAGATATTGAGTTTACTATCACAAGCCATTTTCTTTTACAAATGCAGAAAATAACAGATAGTCAGACCCGTTCTTGTGCAGTTGCACCTGAATAGAGCATGCAAGAAGCAGAAACTGCAAAAAGTATGCTGTAGAAATCACAGTTTTTTTAAAGCACACTGAAGATGGCAGACGACGCCTCCGCCAATACAACATAAGTATTTTGATATCATCTCTCCACTGAGACATTGCTGTCTTCGTGTAATTGAACCTTCTTCTTCACCCTTGGACATTTGTATTCATCCAGTTTCACTATATCACACAAAGAAATTCCATCAACATGCCCACTAGTAAATTCTTTGGGCAATGACCTCCTCTGTTCACACATGGGTTCAATTGGACATTACATGGACCTTGTACTGGTTAATGTCTAGGTCAACTGATGCAAACATTTAAGTTCTCACATACTGGGTAATGTCAGGGCTGCAGTGCATGTCTAAAAGGGGCTATAGAAAATTTACTTTTAAGAGGCTAGTACCTGTGAATGTGGCATATTTGCTTAAAATTATTTAAAATAATTAATAAAGTATACTGGTTGGTACTGAGTGCTTGGGGGAAAATCAGACTGTCATGTACAGTGGGGAGTCAGGGGCCCAACAGCAAATGTTTGCCCCGGGGCCCCCAGGGAGGTTAATCCGGCCAGTAGTCAAAGTGGCATATATAAAGGACATTTACAGACGAAGAGAGTAATATTACAGACAGTAAAATGAGTGATAACAGCCCTCAAAACCCACTCCGTTTTCTAGCTCGACTGTCACACCATCAGCCGCCTTCAGATCTGGGCGCTGCTGCAGACGAGAGACACCCCCGCATAGTTTCCGTCAGCCGGGTGACGTCTCCGCCTCTCAGCCCGTGTGCAGTGTGACGTTACGGGCTTGTAGTGGAGCCTCTGCTGGCTGCATTTTGTTGACGGTACGCCAGGCTTTTCCAGTTTAGAGAAGACCCTGGGCGAGTGAGGACGACACAGAGACATACAGCGTTCAGGCAAGTGTTTTAAAAAAAATAAGAAGCCTTTAAATTACTGTTTTAAAATCTTTTGCGGGTGGTTTTGTTCATATTGGATCTCAGCCTGTGGCGATTAACGGTCGAGTTCGTTTAATTAGTCGCAAAACGACAGACTGGAGGGGTGGAGTGTTAGCCCTTCAGATAGCCTGGCTTAATATAAGTAGTAGGTTATCGTTCTTCGTCGCAGCGGACACTGCTGTTTATCACTCTGTGTGTTGGGGGACCCAAGTCACCGCTTTAATATCTGACCGCTGTTGTGTCGAAGTCTGGCCCCACGTCGATGGGGCCAGACTATGTTTCCTCTTACCGTAACTTGAAACCTTTCCTAACCCCAACCGGTCATCGTATGAGATGCTTAACCCCAAACCTTAACCTAACCGCAGACAGTTATCTGTGCTAGTCTACCCATAACCATAACCTATCTTAACCCCAGTCACGGAGGGGAAACCTGTTCTAACGGGAGGGAAACACTAAGCGAAGGGGAACTGACTTCGATACAAGACCTTGAGAGCCCGTCTCACTACCCACTTAGACCGCTTTTATAGCTCACTGCGCCGGGGTACGCTGGGCTAGCTAAGCTAGCTAGCGCACTTAGTATTGAACGTTACCCGAGAAATGAGCAGTTTCTAAATGTTCCCAATTTTCGTTTGTGTAACGTAACATTCTTTATAGTCAAAATATTTTATTGAACGACATAAACTGTGTCACACACATACACGACTTGTTTCATTTGACTGTTTGGGTGTACCGGAATAGCACTCAGTGTTTTTGACATACGGGCAAGCCGCGGTTGTAAACCCCGCCGTGCCTTCGTCTAATCGGTGTGTGCGTAGGGCTCGACCGTGTCTTCCCAGACTAGACCGTAGTGTAGACAGTGAATGTCATTATCAGTGCTGTCTGCATACCAGTGCCGTCGTGGCGAGCCAGCAGAGGAAGCAAAGTACAGTTTGCAGACTGAGGAGGAGGAGGGGATGGAGCGGAGCAGGAGCATTATAGCTACGCGGTGTCCTTGCAGCGAACAGGATACTAGAAGTGGGGGTGACATTAAGAAAATGGGTCTAATAGCAATTAAAAGCTGAGAGGTGTTTTATGAGAAACCCCACTGCGTTGTTATTTAACGAAGCAATGTGATTTCTGTCATAAATATACTGCCCTGCATGGATCGAGGTTTTAACAGAAAAAAGGGAAACAGTCTTGTAACGGGTTGTTACTGGTCTGATTTTGCCGTGTTGTAGAAGTCATCCCACGGCTGATATTTGCCATTAGACCGCCCACAAACATCAAACCCGTTTCGGAATCGAACTCGATACACCCGAGCAGCATTTCAGTCAGTGGAAAAAAAAAACAACAACGACGGGATGTGGAAATTTGCAAAAGCGTGCAAACCCGTTCACTGTGGTCATTTAACCCACCGTGCGTGTTTTGCCCTTTGACAAGCCGAAATCTCTATGTAATGTATTATAGACACTACAACACATCACGAAGCGCAAATGGCACAGTAAATGTTGCATTTTCAAGCTGAAGCGCGATCAGTCCCCTCTTCTCTTGGCGTCATATTGCAGCAGTGGCCATGATCAAACATTGCCTTTTAAACTGAGGATACCAGCTAAATGTTGGTTATCTCAAAACCGTCGACTCAGTAATTCCGCTGTAAAGTAAGAAGGGGAAACACCGCTTTCCACACTGCTGCACGTCAAGCTGTGAAAGACCGAGAGACGGGAACGACTGCTGGTAACGCTTTTATCAGTTGTTTTTCATGGAGTTGATGGGGTCAGCGTGGGGTAAAGCAGACCTTAGGGGAAGGCACAATATGGTTGGGAAAGGCATTTTCATTTGCAAAGTGAAATGTTTTTGACCATTGTTTATCAGCCTTACATTAACAAGCTAATGGAAGAGAGGGGCTGGGTGGTGGAGAATTTGGTTTGTCATGTCTGGTCGACTGGTTTTGCTTGTTAAAATTCTCACTTTGTGCTAGAAAGTTTGTCTCAAAACCTTTGGTGAAAACGGTGATGCAAATTTCTCCTGGGGTTCAATTACAAGGACTGAAAAAGCCTTGTTTATGTGAAGTATGGTAATGGCCATTTGGCTTAGTGGTCCATGCAAACAGCCATTGACCTCTTCAGTCCCCAGCGGGGTCAGCGGCCATAAAACATTTAAACTGCTTGTGGATGTGTCATGCTCCATAGCATTTTTTGATTAGATCGTTTTCAGTTTGCGTATTCCTTTATAAAAATCGATTAGCTTAGATAGTGACTGAATGATTTTGTCTGCCTTTTCTTTGTTTTCTAAATTCTTTTTTTTTTTTCACACTCAGGAAGTGGATCTAAACAGGAAACTTCAATCACCATCATGCATGTGTCTAACTACCAGAAGATTTGTGTAATTTGAAAAAGACTTGAGGAGGGGGAAAAAAGGACTCGTATCCAAGAACTCAGTCAGCAGACAAAAACAATAGTAACCCAGTGCTTAGACATGGCCAGCACCCAGACCACTTTCAAAAAAACCCCTTTCAAAGACATGACCTCATTCAAGGGCAACATGAAAAGGCTGTACAGAGAGAGACTGGAAGATGCACCCATCAAGAAGCGAGTGATGGCAGAGATCAACCTGAAGTGTCGTGGCTTAGATTCCCTCCCCAAAACTCCCAGGGTGAAGCGGGAACAGACTGAGGAGCTGCTCCACGACTCTGAGATGGATGTGGAGGGCCAGGCTGAATTGCACGTGGTGGGTTCTGCTAAAGCCCTGGACCTGAGCCCTGGGCTCAAACACACACTGGCCCAATTCACCCTCAGCAGCCAGAGCTCTCTTGGGGGTCCTGCTGCCTTCTCAGCCCGCACCGGCCATGAGCATTCCCCAGCTGGCATGCCTCCGCTGCCCTCCCCTCCTGTTCTGGGAGGAGGCCCTCTGCTAGTTCCCTGTGACAGCTCCACCGAACTCACCCATTCACTGCTGGAAGGAGAGTCCATCTCCTGTTTTGTTGTCGGGGGAGAGAAACGGCTCTGCCTACCCCAGGTGCTCAACTCTGTGCTCCGTGACTTCTCGCTGCAGCAGATCAACACTGTGTGCGACGAACTGTACGTCTACTGTTCACGTTGTGATGCCGAGCAGCTGCACATCCTCAAGGTGCTGGGCATTCTGCCATTCAACGCGCCTTCATGTGGCCTCATTACACTGACGGATGCACAACGGTTGTGCAACGCTCTGCTGCGCCCTGGGGCGGCCTTGCCCGCTGACCCCAGCGGTAAGCTGTCGGCCCAGGGCCTGCTGAAGGAGGGCGAAGCCAGCTTTCAGGTGGAGCACCAGTGTCTGGGGAAGTGCCAGGGTCTCTTTGTGCCCCAGTTTTACACCCAGCCTGAGGCGCCCTGCATTCAGTGTGTTGAGTGTCAATTGCTCTTTTCACCACAAAAGTTTGTCATGCATTCACATAAGTCACCTGATAAGAGGACCTGCCACTGGGGCTTTGACTCAGCCAAGTGGCCCTGCTACCTGCAGCTTGCCAGGAAGTATCAGGGCACACCTGAGGAGCCCAAGCTTAAGCAGCTCCTGGACGAGGTCAAAGAGAAGTTCCACTACCAGCTCAAGAGGTCACTAGACAAAGTAAGTGCCCTTCTGAAAGAGACCTGAGTCTTTATGTATGTTTGCTTGTTTGCATGCCAGTTATAATGATTCTTTTAAGAAAGCCACTTAAGTAAAATGTTTATTATGTTGGACTGTGTGCTTTCTCTGGCTACTTGACTTTTCTTCCCTGTAATGGTGCAGTCCCATAATCTGTGTTTAGCAGGTTTGACTAGTTTGCCATATGACAGGTGTTTTCTTAAATCACCACTGACCTAGTATGTGGGATGGAGGCCTGGGACAGGTGGTGACATCTGCCTGGCCAGGTCTGATCAGACCAGGTTAGGTCAGCTGGCCACAGCTGAAAGAAAGGGAAGTGCCTAATTTGTCTGCGCAGCCACTGGGCGGTCACTGAGAATGTTACTGAATAAAAGAACAATATGTGACTCAGGAAGAGACTTCTGTATTAAAAGTATATGTCAGCAGTTACTATTTTAACTCTCTGTGAACTTTTTAACAAGGTAACTGGGATGGGACTTTTTCACAATTTGGGAACACAGAAAAGAAACGAAAACTAAAGGTACTTTTGTCTGGTTAGTCATTATATTGCATCTGTTAGAGAAGTACTTTATAAATTTGTTATGCATTGCTTAACCACTTGGTCAAAATACTGGTGCTTCTTGATATAAGAAGAATATCTGGACAGTATGAGTCACAGTTGCAGGATTGTATTCATTGCTTTACTGGTAGTTATTACTGAAAATCAGCATGCACAGTCTTCCAAAGAAGGTGATTTTTTGCCAGTTCTTGCTTTGTAAAAAAAATCATGTCAGTGCAGTATTTAAGCCACAAGGGTAGCAAGTTTATTGAAAAGTCAGCATTCAATAGGGGAAAAGCTCTAGATTGTTTCCCTGCCATTGACTAGCTTATGTCTCATTACCTTGCTCTGACCACAGTGGGCTGCCCTTTGTGTATTGTTTTGGTAGAGGGGGGTTGTGTTTTTCTCTGTTTGGTGTGGTTTGGTCACTTGGTTTTGTTAGACTTTTCTAATACATAAAGTATCTATCCAACATCTATCTGACTAAAAATACCTAACAGTTCAACCAGTTCTGATTGATTTTTGGTGAAAAAAGACAGAAGCACTGAAAATATTCAGGCTTTAACCAACTAAACCAAATTTTGAACAGAGAGGGACTCTCCCTATGTCCAAACCTTGCTGGGAAGATTTGGTTGTTAGTTACAGCAGGCTAAGTGAGAGTCTGTGTGGAGTGGAGGTGTGTGCATATTTCTAAAACACAAAACAAGTAACTGTATACCTGATAGGCAGAAGCCTTGCATTTTTTTCTTGTTTTGTTAATTTGGTGTGGGAATACACCAAAAATATTGTCTGCTCTCTTGTCTAGCATCCCGACTGCATTCCTGTCCCGCCTCTTCCCCAGTTGTCCTCCTCCTCCTTCCTCCTGTCTCAGTTTGAGGTATACATCTTAGAAGACGAGGACATTCTTTAATGAAGGCATAGATATTTTAGTATCACATTCCTTGTTGAGCACACACAAACAGTAGCATACACAGACCATAGATACAACACACGTACAAAAACATGCTCAAGGGTGAGTGGTCTTGATGGGTGACATGTATGGATGCACATTGCTTGCGTGACGTCTACAGTTGGTGTGTTTTTATGTGTGAGACATCGCCAGCCTCGGTGTGTGTGTGTGTAATGAGCGACTAACTGGAGGCTAGTATGACACATCTTCGTCTCTCAGTCTCACACTTTGCTGGGCTGTCTTGAGCCTCTGTCTCGCCAGTTTCAGGTGCTGTCTTTTTTCTCTGGGGTGATTTCTCAGTTCGTGTTTTTGGCAGTAGTGACTAGATTTTACCATGTTCTGTTATATGTGAGGGTTTGGCTTGATCAGAAAGGATGTTGTTGAATTATTTTGTAATTGTTTTATGCAACAGTGTCTGTGCAGACAGACCTACGCAGGCACAACAGGCAGATTCCTGAAAAGACAGTTTTCTGTGAATCTATAGGAAGCAGGTGATTTTGGCTGTAAAAGAGGATACCATTCCACCCCCTCAAGTCGGAGCGGATGTGTCACTGTGTGAAACGTCAGTGACCACAGGTGACCTGGCAGTGTTTCTTTTCACTCAGTCAGGGTTCCATTCCTAATACATCCACCCTCTCTGTGTGTAATTGTGTAATTTAGTGTGTGTTTGACTGAACAGGAAGTGAGGCAGACGGACATGTCTTTCACCCTGAACATCCTCCAGACTCTGTCTGACTACCTACCACTGATGTGTGACTCATACTTTCCACATCCCAGTGGATGTCAGTGGAAGGCCAGCCAGGCAGCTTATGGTCACACATGCTTTTTAAAAAGATTGCTTGCCTGCATGTGTTAGTCTTCCCCTGACTGCAGACCTTTAACAACCCTTATTTACACATGATGTCAATGTGCACATTTACAAGAAGTTCATATTTTTACCAGAGAGCTCTGGAACCTCTACAGGAGAAGAGACACACACAGGGGGAGTTATCTGGAAGTTTGTTTTTTTTTTTAACCCACCTTCTCCAATGGCTACTACTCCCATATCCTGTTAGGACTCTTTGGTTTGAGAAGGTGCAGTTATAAACCCCAGGACTTGCTCTATATAAACTGTGCTTTGTGCCCCAAGGCACTTGTTACCCTGTCTACCGATCCCTGCTGTGTAAATAAGGCTTGCTAGACAGACGCCACGAACAGATAGCAACAAGCTGAAGCCATATCTCAAGAATTACTATCCGACAGACAATGAGTTCATTTTGCCTTCATGGCTTGTGACGGATACTTGTACTTTCCACTTAGACGTGATCAAGGTTTTTTTTTTATTTGAGTGACTTTTTTCTCACAAGACAGGAAGTACCAAAAATCCCTTTTGATGATTGTCCCCACCACCTTGTGAAAAATTCATCTTGTCGGAAGACATTTTGTTTATTTGGGCTGTGTGTTTACATGACATGTCAGATAAGCTTGAGCGAAAGAATGTATTACAAAACATCTGAATGACAAAATTCCCAGCATTACTTACATTAGGTCAAGTTTAAGGATGCAACTAACAACGACTTTAATAATCAATTTGTCGATTATTTCTACAGTTAATTGAAAGTATGAAAAACATGGAGAAATCAATGGAAACAAAAGAGAAACAAAAAATTCTTTTAAACAATTCTTTTGTAAAAATTTTTTGTAGTGCATTATTTAACAAAAATAAATTACTTGTCCAAGAATAGAGCTTTTTTATAAAGTGCACAATACTATAAATCCTTAGTGTTAACAGAAATAAAAATGTTTCTGATTTAAAAGAGTTTATATACTGTATTCATAAACATATCATGCTAATGAAAGGGCCAGTGCAAACATGACTACTATAGCTGACGGTTAAAGTTAAATTTGAGTATGGCTAAACAATCCTCAACATATTTACTCTTAGGCTATGTACTCTGCACTGTCCCCGTTAACTTGCATACATGTCATCAATGTTCCTGAACACCCCTATATAACCTTTTTTCTTATTTTCTTTAATATAATGCTTGGCTGTTTACGTGTATGCAAATGAATTTAGCGCCTGTTATTAGCAGCCTACGGAACAACGTTACTTCATGGTTTTAGTTTAGTAATTTCTTAACAATGATTCACAGTGTGTAAAGTTAACAATTTACAGTACTTAGCTCCAGACTTCCCTTCTTCTATAGCTCCAATCTGTCTATTCTTTAGGTGCTAATGCATTGTCATCATGCTCCTGTACCATGACAGATACATAGTGCATATTTGTCATTGGACAGTCACCTTTGTGAAATAAAGTGCTCCCAAACCTTAGACAACTTTGGCCGTCCACTTTTCTCTGCTGCACTATGTTCATGACTATTCACACTTCCACCATTTTTCAATTGCTTTGGGTACAGCTCAGTGATGTGATCACCCAGTCGATGACCTGGCCTTCTGACATAGCTGCATGAATAGGCCCAACTAATCGACAATTAAACTTGTTGCCAACTTTTTTTTGTGTGTGATTTTATCAATAGTTGTTGCAGCCCTGGTCAAATTATTTTTTAAGATAAAGAGATATACACTGGTAATGTTTATAGTTGTGCAACTGTGTGGAGTACTTTTTGGTCTGATTGGCCAGAGTCATGAACATTTAATTTGTAGGCCATGTCTAAGGTAGAAAAATTTGGGAAATAAAAAAAACATTATGAGCTAATACTTTAGCCATATTTAAAAACCTTGGTGAATGTAACCCTATGATAGAGAACGGTGATCATATTTGTGTGTTGATTATTTTCTCCAGCCTTGTTGTTGTGCTGGCCCAGAGTCAGACTTGTCAGAAAGAACAGCCTTTCTCTGTGTCTCCCTGGCCGAGCTGACACAGTGTGGCTGCGGCACAGACGGCAGACAGATGCATCTCTCTGGCTTCCTCTATTTGCTGTTTGGAAACCAGTGACTTCATTACCACAGACCAGTGCAGCTGCACTCTCTGGCTGTCTCTGTCTGTATTCTGGGCTGTCTTCTCTATCTGGCTGCTTGTCAATCAGTCTTTTTTCTGTATCTAATTAGATTTTAACAGGCATGCTAATCATTCACTGTGTTGCTATTGCTATCGCTTCCTCCTTCCTCTATCTTGGTATCTCTCTTCCATCTGCCTGCTTCTCTCTCTTCTAACACATCTTAACTTAAGGCCATTGGTTTTCTCTTCACTCTGCTATACCTTGTTCACTATCATCCTTTTCATTCGGTCCAGACAGTTCTGCTGTTGCTCACGTGTCTGTGACCAGTCAGCAGCCCCTAGGCCCCAATCAGTGTATAGTAATAAAATAAGCAGCCACATGATCAGATATAAGTCATTTGTTACATAGGCAATAAGACCACTTGTGCATGTCTGCAAGGCAGATGGGAAGAAAACCAGTGGCTATTGATCGGGTCTCTGATCTTGATGGATGTGGTGAGTTGTTGGGTGACACAAATAGAGGAGGAAATGGACCAAGAGAGAGGCAGGAGGAAACG